CCCAGCCAAGGGCTAACCCACCACAGTATGACTGTATGTGTACACATATATATAAAACTGCTGCCAGTATTGAACAGCTTAAGTCTGTTTATAGAAGTTTTCACCAACTTCTTGGTGCAAAAAAAGGTCTCTGCCATTTCTGGCACTTATTAGACATGGGGAAGGAAAGCAAGCATCTACAGCGTTGTAAACAAGTATGAAAAGAAGTCCTGTGTATTGGAATGATTTTCACTGTGACTGCTGTCTGAGAAAAGAGGCCATGGGATCATCAGGCCTCTGACGCTTCATTCTATAGGCTTCCATTTCCTCTTCTGATGGCTCCCTGGGATCATATATACTGTTGTATGGTCTTTTCCTCTCATCTAGCTGCATGATTTCTTTAACGTGGAGAAGACGAGCCTCTTCTGCATTTAGTGCCTGAAATGAAAGAAAAAAAAAAACAAACTACCATGAAAGTTCATTAAAAAAAAAAAGTTTATATTAGATTCTAGTATAACGAACAAGCAGCAGGCAGAATGGTGGGATAAGCAATGCACCTCTGTCTGGCCTACCTAGAGCACACTTCATTTAATCCTCATTTTTTAGTGTTTAACATAGAATGATGGTAAAATGGTATTTAGCAAACAAGATACTTTAATCTCTTTCCAACTGCCAAAATCAAGTAAGAAACTACTTGGTCTTACCTAAAATCTAATAATGATCCAGCAAGTACAAAAGCAGATACGGGGTTTGGGTTTGTTTGTTGGGGTTTTTTTGGTGTTTGTTCTCCCCCCAGAGTCAGGGTGCATTATTTTTTTTTTTTTAAATGCTCTTTGAAATACATTAGTTTCACACTCTGAATATCCAGAGGCAGGCCGCTGTGCTTGTGGAATGGCTGTTCAGCAGTAGTCAGTAGATAGCCTGGTGAATGGATTTACTGCATCATTTGTGAGACTGGGCCCAAGTCTGGGATAAAAAGTGCTAAGTTAAGCTTCCACAGTGCCTTTGATCTCTCCATCTTTCTTCAACACCCAAACCACTGTGTTCTGCAATGTCTTTTATCAATCTACAGCAGCAATAAATGCCTAGAAAGGAAGTGTTCTAATTCTTCTAAACTACATCTTCCAAAACTAAATATTTATTGCATGTTTGCTGAGAAATAGGGAATGTACTTTGGAACATCTAACAGCATTTTAAATTTGCTCTAGCTCAAAATTAGCATCAAAGAACATCTCACAGAACACCACAAGAACTGCATTACAGGCTTCATAAAACTGACATTGTTGTAAAATATATTTCAAGTTCTTTTTGCCACAAAACCACTGAAGAGTATAGTGCACCTTTTTAAGTTTTTCTTGCTTCTTTTTCTCTTCACCCTCACTATCTGAATTTGAGATCTTCTTGTGCTTCTTCTTTTTCTTTTCTTTCTGTTTCTCTTGGTGGATCTGAAAGGTGGAAAAACAGCTACTGTTAAGATTCAACTTGCAAACATTAGTAATGTTCAAGCCATTAAATCCCAAGCACCTATTAGAGCTATCGGAGAGCTCAGTTTTCAATAAAGATGTTAAGGATCTAATAATGCAGTCTAATAATTTTCAGACTCATTATGACTTACATTATTTTGTAGTTATACGTATCTTTCCATTTCTTAAAATGCTGAGGATAAATACGTACCTTCCTGAGAAAGGAAAACAACCTACCTCCATCAGTGTTTTGGGTTTTGTCGTGTGCTCTTCCTCCCTGGGTTGCTCTTCCAGTGAGCTTGCTTCAGTGTTCTATACAACAGAGAAGAGGAAGGATTCCCATTTACTAAGCACATTTGAAAGGGAAAGGACAAAAAAAACCAAGCCAATAAAAAAAACCCCAACCAAAAACCCACTAAAAAAAACCAAAACAGTCTGAAACTTAGGTAGGAAGATGAATGCCTTTTAGCTCTTTCCAAGTGACCAGATAAGACAATACTTACAGCAATTTCTTTCCCAGCTTCTCCTGTACAGTAGGAGTACTTGACAAATGAGTGGCAGCATTTGTAACCCCATTTGCCTTCTTTCCAGTATGAACCCCAAATGCACTGCAAGGGAAGACACCATAGCAGTTACGTCCACAATGATACTCCCGTACAAAGCAGGTGAGGCTATATTCTGGTAAGGAAATTATTCAAACAATCCAGAAAGGAAAGTTATGAGAAATACTTTTGTACTTTTACGTTAGCCTTACACGTACAGTTTCAAAAAAGAGAAAAGCAACAGGATGTGGTCAACTCAAAGTCAAAAGTCAAAGAGAAATACAGTAACTTCCCCTTCAGTTTAAGATTGCCGTTGCAGCTCCTCTAATTCACATCACACCCATGACAATTTGAAATTCCTCCTTTGTAGAGAAGGGAGAGTGTCACATTTGAGCAAGGAGAGATGTATTTCTGTATTAATTATACCGTACTGTATCCTACCACACCTCATTCCCCTCCAATGGGAGGGAATCTAATTTTTAAATAATTTTTACATAAATTAGGGCTTACCGTATGGTTGTTGATCTTCACATCTTCTTCATATTTAGAGCAAGCAATAGCTTTCTCTTGTCCTTTGATGACCGTTCCATGCCTGGAGTACTCCACGTAATCTTCTGTTTGAGCTAACAGCAGTTCAGCTGGTGGGGCATCTAGATGTTCTTGACCTCCATACTAAAATGCAAATAGAAATGACACGTAATTCATGTAGAAATGACATTCATTTTGAAAAGTCACCTTCAGTACCTTCTGAAGATGACACAAAAGAAGTGGACAGAGACAGCTTAATCTTTAGTGAATAATTAAGAGAGAAATACATCTCCTATAGCCATTATGGTGTTTTTGGTTTTTGTTGGGGTTTTTGGCTCGGTTTTTTTGTTTTTCTTAATGCTTAGAGGATTTACAACAGTGATATTGCTCACTCAAAGTAGGAAAACCTTTCAGACTAAACCAGAAGGCTCTGGTATAACTAGAGCAGGACTTCCTGTCCCCCTCCAAACTTGAATATTGACAAGGTTAGAAACTAAATGGATTATTTAGTTGTCAGTTGTCCAAGAAAACAGTAGTAAAATATAAAATATTTATCTAGAAGACTGCACGCAAAACTCTAGTATGAAAATCATCCTTTTCACTTTTAAAAGAAAAATTTAAAAATAATTTTGGGAGACAGTTACTTGGGTGTTTTGCAAAAGATACCACTTTCAAACACTAAAAGAATTTTTTCAACCCCATATTATTAAAAAAAATAAATCTGAATTCCCACTCCTCCTACATACTGCTGTCAGATTTTTCACTGGAGAAATTCTGACAATTAAGGGAAGATCTCCCAATAATTCAAAGAAATACCAACAGATCTTCAAAGGTTCCTATATTAAATAATATAATGAACCCAATTGATGTACAGGTATAAAAATCTTTTTATGAATCGAAGCTGCTGAGAACAGCTGATGCATTTTCTCATAGCATTAGTAATCTTATTTATTCCCCAAGACCCAGACTTCTGATTCAACAGAATTCTTACTAAATAAAACCAAATATCTATTACCTTCTCTAGGATGCTTTCTTTCTGCTGTGCCTTGAAATCTTCTTTTTTTACTTTGAAGGATTTATAAAGCAGCTCTAACTTTGTAGGGTCTGCTTGAAGATGAACTTCAGAGCCTTTGTCATAAGCCTCCCAAGCAAACACTGTGTACACAAGAGGTTTTACTCAATATTGATTCTAAAACTGACACAGGCATTCAAATTATGATCTCAAATTCTGTAGTAATTTGAAAGAAAGCCTCAATATGAAAAGATTTATTTCTCTTTTGCAACAAAGCAGCATTGTTAAATCAAGTCTTTTAAGCCCATTTTCTTAAACAAACAAACAAAACAAACCCACTTACACTGAGTCTGTGCCATTGAAATGGTATCTCCAGTATAGCGAACAAAGTTGTCACCTGCATAACCAACTCTGCAGAAAAGAACAAGATGATTCTTAGCATTCAAGTAACGTGATTTCCTTTTAAATACAATCATAGAACACCAACAAGAGAGTAAAAATTCTCCTTTGTGCCCTGAGAGTTAAGAATGGACAAAGAGGAAGGAGCATTCAACGCAATACATTAAATTGAAAGTCCAGGCTCCCCATTGAGTCATGAAAGTATTAGACAGCAACTCAGAATAGTTGATGCTTCTGTTTACATGGAAACATCTTACGACACCTGGAGCTTTGTCTGGCATACCAAGCACCATGAGTCAAGCTTGGACCTAACTGTACAATAAATATGCATGAATGGTAGGTGACATTCTAGCATAGTGATTCTCAGCTTTCAGATTTGTGAATCTCTCCTCCTGCCCAGACTCAGTGTATTTTACCGAGTTAAAGCCTGGTAATAGCTTAACTGCTCTCCATTACCTTCTGCACACCCCTTGAAGAGATTCACAACAAGTATATGAAACACAGGTTGAAAGTCAAATTATGTTAACAATCCAATTGCCCCACTCTTTTGATCTACCAAAAGCCACTCTGAAAATTTTTCAGTTTGCAAAGCTGTGGCAGAAACAAAGGTCAAATTATGACTCAAGAGAAGTGAAAGCATCTGTTGTCTACCTAAACAATGCAAAGCTTTCACACATTTTCTAAGCAGACACCACTAATATAAGAGGAACTTTTGGTTCTAATTCAAGCATTTAGTTAGGTACCACAGATGCTCCATGCTAGTCTCCAGTGCTGAATGCCTCCCAACAAACAAGGGATGACATTTAAGATTTGGTTACTGAAATACTTTACGTAAACATCATTATTGTTTACAGGTGTCACTTCTAGATACAGCAGTGTTCTAATCCTTGTACAGATCATTACAGTACATGCTGGTCCACATATCCCTGAAGATTAAGGGCCAGTATTATTAAAATACCACTTTTATATACTAAAACAAAAAGTGCTGCTAAATAAAACAATTCTTCCATGTGTAGTACTACTTCTACGCACAACTGACTAGAGATTCATGAGTAAAAGGACAAACAAGATACAAAAAAATATACAACTATTAAAAGTAATCTCATTTTTAACAGTTTTGCAGATACGTAAACATGACCCTGTTTTAACTTACTCATCTGGATTCTTGCCTGTATTGGCATACGGGTTCTCCCTCATTGCTCTTGTTTTGGGATCATAGTAAGCAGAGTTTGGATCTAGATTCCTCAAGTACTAGGGAACGAGAGGTTAGATATGTATGATTTTAAAAGAACTAAAGTTACTCCTGTATCCCCCAGCTTACACATTTAAAAAACTTTTATCTGTGTAAAAGGATGACCTTGACGAAGTCACAACATGAGCAGGAATAGAACTGAGACTAGACCTTAACCTCCACAACCCACAACACATATAGAAACTCATTAATAACTGAGCATAGAATTTTTTTAAATTAAGTCTCATGAATACAAAATAACATCTGTAAAGAAGTCTTTACTCACTTTTGCAATATCTTCTCGAATACGTAAATTTCGAACTGTGATACGTCTTTTAGAGTCAAAGTTCTGCCCAGGCATATCAATGTCATCTGCATATTTATCTTCATCTTCATCTTCACTGTTATGATCTCTTTCCTGAGGAGAGATGGGAAACTTCTAAATAAAAGAGGACATTCACTCGAGGGACAAGTATAAGAATCTGACTTCAGTGGTTTCTTTAAAAATTCTGGAATCTCCATAGTTAAAAGCTAGCATCATTGACTCAGGCTTTGCTGTCATACTAATGTAACATTCAACAGTTTTCACAAATACTCTTGTTAAAGGATTTCCACTTCCTCATGTGGAAACACTTATAAAAACCTAACTGTGATGATATTAAAAAAACCAGTTATCTTGGGCAAAACATACCACATATTAAAAACTACTTATTTGCTTGCACATCTAACTTTTGCAACATGCAGGAATGAAAACAAAACCAGAAAACCCTCTATGAAACCCAGCAACCTCTGCCCAAAAGAACAGGCAGCCAGTGGCATGAACCCAACATTCAAACCCTTATGCCACCCTCATTTCACTGTTCCACTAACTACAGGTCCTTTTTTCTGCCCATGGTGTGATGCGGTGGGTAATCATCTTACTGTCTGTGAGTTTGGTTCCTCTTCTCCCCACTGGTGTCTTGGGGAGTTCTGCAGCAAACAAAGAGCACATCAGCAGAGAAGACAAGATAGTGGAGAGAGGAAAAATGGCAGGGATATAAAGAGCAATCAAAGCAGAGCTTGATTCTGGATGCAAAACACAATTCACCTGTTGTACAAATGCACAAAGAATGCTATATAGCATTCTAGGAAAGAGCTTTTAAGTGTCTCTATTACAGATCCATGTCGGAGACCTTTTCACTGTATTCCCAACTAAATTTCCAAGCCTTTGCAAGAACGGCAAGAACTATCCCTGTTATTTAAAGCTTGCTATGCCTTCGAACACTAATGGCTTAGACTAGAATATTTCATATTATGCAAATATAACCAAGATTCAACTCTGAAAGCTTAAAAAAATTAATTAAGAAAATATGTATGCAAGTATTTAGTTAGGATTGACAGGAATACTGAGCATGAATCACAAGCCATAATTTAATCTGGAGAAACATAGCCAGAATTTATTTTTTTAACTTGCTCAGCCTCTAACTTGAGAATACTTGTAGCAGTAAAGATGGAAACAACTGTGAGTCCTGGAAGGCTGACCAGCACATTGGCCAGAACTGACCGCAAATCAGTCCTGGTCCTCTGCATCAGAGATAGTTCTTACGTTTCAAACATACTTGTCTTCTTACAGCTCCATTTTATAAGGAATAAGTATATGGAAGCCAACAACTTTTGCCTTGTGGTAAAAATGGACATGAAGAAGAGAATTCCCTTTCTATCAGGAAGGTCAGAATGCTGCAGTTTGTCCTGGGCTGAGATTAAGCTCACCCTGCCATCTAGTGACAAAATGCAAAGTGACAGCCTCTGGAAAACGGAGGCCCAATTGCATGCAGTCTTTTGCTTGGTGTTTTCTTTCTTACAACAGTGATTAAAAAAACCTATTTCTGAGCAGTAGCAGTCTCTACCTTTTTCCCCATTTTATAAACTTAGAATATTATCAGAAATGCCTTTTAAAATTATAATTTTAAATCAAAGATTATCAAAAGCATTGTCTATAATCTAAGAGGAGCTTGTAGAAGTCAGTGGAAGATGCAAACCGTGCAGTTATAAGCCAGAGAGAAATACATATGCTCAGCCTTCAGATAACCAGAGACACTGTACATAGCCATAGCAACGACTGAAGAATAAACAAGTTTGGTTCTAAGATAAAGAAAATATCTTCCTATTCCAATTTATACTAAGCATTACTAAAACAATCCACAGCCATTTAACAGTCATTTCCTCAACATTAGTCAGACATAACAATCTTTAAATACAAAGGAAGCATTTCAGTATATGAACAAAATTACTACATAGAAAACAAGTTTTTCTGACCCAAAATTCAATGTCATTAATTGTAGAAAGAATAATAATCACACAACTTTTGCCCATAAGGGGAAAACAAAGCAGCTCTCATAAGATGCTCCAAATTCTTGAATGTGACACAGACTATGCTGGTGCTAGGAAAATCTTTAAATTACTGAAGGGCACAAAAACCAGTAGCAGACTCTGTATAGAGAGTAAAAGCATCAGAGAGCAGAAGCAACCTGTTGTATTTTTATTCAGCCTAAACAAAAATAAATTAGGGTTTAGTTTACTTACCACTTGCTCCAGCTTTCCGGATGCTAACTCTTCCTGAAGCTTCTGGGCTTTCAGTGTACGTTTGGCCTGTGTATCATGAAAATGTATTGGGTTTAGTATTTCAATAGCAAGTCCGTAGTAATACTTATCGTAAGCATCTCTCGTGACTGCTGTGATTTAAATGTATTCATTATTACAAAAAAAAAATGGGGACTTTAATTCTCTTCTTTGTAAAAAATCAGCAGCCCAGAGCTTGCCTCCTCTACTCCTGTGCTTTACTATGCTGTTTTTGAGCCTCAAGGAAAGGAAACTATGTCTACTAATGACTTTACTCTTTTATATTATACCGTTAAATATAAGTTTACTGAGTTTATGCAACTATACCATTACTACATTTATCCTACTTTAAGAACAAGATAGCTTATTTCAGTTCAATAGTGTTTAAAAACATCAGTTTTATTACTGTGTCCTCACAATCTAGTTAGAAACTTCAGTGCTTAAGGTACTTCACGACTGATGCTACAAGTATTTATGGTTCAGCCAAAAAGCAAATCTAGCATCTCAAGTGAGATTTTAAAGCAGCATGTAGTGAACTTTTTGTATGTGTTTGAAATCATAGAACCAAAGAATGGGTGATACTGGAGGTACCTCTGGAGGCTGCCAAGGACAATCCCCCTGCTCAAAGCAGGCTTACCACAACAGGTTGCCCAGGACCATGTCTAGGCTGGTTTTGATTACCTCCAAGAATGGAGACTCCCCAGACTTACTGGGCAAACTGTTCCACTGCTTGATCACCATTACAGTAGAACTCTTCTTATGTCTAAACAGAATGTCTTGTATTTCAATTTGTGCCCACTGCTACTTGTCCTGTCACTAGATACTACTGAGAGGTAACTGTCTCTGTCTTTCCTACACACTATAGGAAAATACTGAAGACCAGGCACTGAATAACTACCTTTCGGAACCCGTAGCCAACATCCAGCCAATGTAGTGAACTTTTTTTTTTTTTCCTAAAAAGTGAATAGTGTCCACAAGGATTTGGTGCATACAGATAGTTAACTGCAGCAGCAAATGCCAACATGCACAGAGACACATACAAATAGTCCTCTGCTCCATCATGGTAACAGAAAGGATTCTTAAGTAAAATAACATGAATAAGGTTACAAAATAGATACCGATTTATTGGCTCTAATACAGCCAGATAATAAATTCCTTTCTTTCCTGCAATTCAATCTGCAACTTGGGTAATAAATTCTAAGGCTTGTCTATTAAAAAGTAAGCAATCTGGACAGACACTTTAGTTATTGTACAGACTCAGCTGCCACTTCTCATCTGAATTTCAGTTTAAGTGAAGTCTGCTATCAAACACAGAATCCATCTTGCTTTTTCACTGTGAGCACAACACAAGGTCTAATATTAACAGTGCACATAACAAACGTTCCTCCTCCCAGCCAAGCCAAATACTAAACTTTTCCCCCAGTAAACCAAAGCACCTACATACCAGATCAACCTTGGCGTATTCCTCTACAATCTTCATGTGCTCCTCTGGGTTATAACCATTCCAACGGTCTCGCTTTCCATCATAATCAAACATCAGCTGAGGCTGCACATGTTCATCTGGTGCAATATTCATGCCTGTGTATTTTGCTCCAACTTTCCTGGGCCTCTGAAAGGAAAAAAAAAAAAAAGGTTGAATCCATCCATCAGACTAAAATATGTTATTCACTCAGATATCCCTTTAAAAATAGTATCAACTGAGCTCCTCTAAAGCCAGTTAAATTCAGCACTATAAGCCTGTGAATTATGAATAAATGCAAGTAGTTAATTTCTGTATTTTAAAGTAGTGCAACTGACTCCAAACCCCTTCAATTTCTAATTCTATTTTCCAAATTTAAGAAAGCAATTAAAACACAGTATCTTGGGACGGCTTGTAGCTGACATGACACAGAAAGACAGGCACAGCAGCAGTTGAGTTAAAGCAAATTAACATGAAAAGATAAACATTTTCTCCTTTACTGCAGTGCTTATCACAAACAGAACTGATGAGCAACACTGTGAAGAGTATCCCTTTTCCCCTTAATTTTTCCTACATAACAATGTCTTTAGAAATTTTCAAGACACCTTTCAACACTTGTAACCTTTTTCAAAATAGCTTTTTCAAAAGTAGTAATTTTTAAATTTTAGCTATAGCTGGCTATTTTTCACTAACATGAGAATTCACAGTGTTCCAAATCATCAAAAGATTAACAAAAGTCAAGTTTACCTCCATGCAGTCTTTCTTTTTGTGTGTCAATGCACCACAGTTCTCGCAAGCTCCTTTACGATATCTAGTTGCTACAGCATGCTAAACAACAGAAAAAGACAGGGTTGTACAAACTTGTAGCAAGATTCAGGTACATGTTCCCAACAATTAATTCATTTTTTCAATATAACTAAAGTGTGCGTGGTCTACCTAAAGCCAGACAATGTATTTTGATTATTACCAAACACCACGACTTGCCTGCTGAATAAGAATTCCCAGCTCCTGTCTCCCTCAAAACCATGTAACCAGAAATTATTTTCTCACCGAACAAACCAAAGCTTTATTTTATGACAAAAATATTTTGCATACCTCTTGAACTCCTCGTTTGTACCAATCTCCAGAGGAGTTATACTGCTTCTGCTTCTCTGGCTGAGGTCTCTGATGCTTTAGTGTAGGTCTTTTAGAAGGATCAATGTACCATGGCACTGAGGATATGTACTGGGGAATATGAGGATTGATATCTCTGTAAAAGACATCGTGTAATAAATACACAGCATAGGGAAAAAAATACAGAACAACTTAGCCTAGCAAATAACCCTCACATTAAAGTTCAGTGGTTTAGAAGTGAAAAAAAAAAATTGTTACAATGCAATGAAAAATAAACTTTAATTCACCAGATAAACAGAGACTTTCATTGAGATTTTGTTGCCATTTAATTCACCTAAACTCCTGAGTCCAATTCAAACACCTTATTCTATGCAATCTTAGAGAGCACAAAAATAGTTACATTTCCCTTCTCAGAAGCAATGAGCCTTGTAGAAGCAAGAGAGAGGGAAGAGAAAAGGTATGCAGCAAGGTTCCCCAATACTACGTTTTGGTCACTTTTAAATTCCACTTATATGTACCTGCATAGATGGGACTTTTCAGCAGCACCATCAATAGATATGAACACCTAAACATTGAACCTACATTATTTTTGGAAAATATCTGTTTTCTGAGGATGACTGGAATGTTAAAAGCAAATTCACAAAGTTCAACTATTTCCTTCTACAATGACTCATACAGAAATCATGTATCACCCTCACGATTATTCTGCGATCACAACAGGAAAAAGACATTTTTAACCAGTAGCTTTAGAATAACAACAGCTTTAGTAAAACTCACTTTCCTTCTTCATCCACCTCAGCAGGTGCATTTCCTAATTTTCTTTGTTCTTCTAATTCCTTCTTCTTCCTCCAGTCTTCCCTTGTCATCTTCTTCGGTTCCTCCAGGCTCACATCGTTTGACCCTCCCGCAGGAGAGGCGTTCATTACTGTCCCTGATGCCATTTTCGTTTTTTCCTCCCTCTAACAGAAAAAAAGAAGAAAAAAGTCTTACAAAGCAATACTATTTGACAGCAGAGTTCCTCAGCGTGGTTTTGTATCATTCCAGAAAGCCAACACCACTGCATTAAACATTCCTGACGTGCATCTTTCCACGAAAAAAAGCACCAGGGCTGAAAAAAAAGTTATTAATGTTCCTCTTCCCTGGCTAGTCTGATACCTGACAGGAAGGAAGAGCAGCAGCTCTGCACACAGCGCCAGGACACGCGCTGCCGGGCCCTCCCAGCCCTCGCG